GCGGCGTAAGAAGACCCAGGTTTCAACCAAATCGCCCCTTAAGTCACCAAGAAAGGGCTCCGTTCACTCTCACTGACACACAACACTCTCCCACTCCTCCAGTCTTGTTTCTTCTCTAGGTATTCAATTAGCCCGGGCTCCCGTTGCAACAAGTCATCGCGAGAATAGGAACGAAAGGACGCTGGGAATTGCAGTTTTTACTGAGTGGGTTGCTCAACAAGTACACGGTATGTACTAAATAGCGCCGAATGGGAACAACCTCTTGGAGGACCGCGTGGTTTCCTCTTGGGTGACAGCCTCCTCCCCTGGTGTTGCAGGGTAGTCGCAGACGCAACGCCAGTACGTAATGCAAAAAATCCTTACAGTACCATAAAGTCAAAAAGAGAGCGATCATAGTTAACGGGTTAGGCCGGAAGTTTAGGACTACCTGCCAATCTAGCCCTTTCCATGTCTATGGTGGGGGGGGGTTCGCCCCTCAAACAGCGTCCAAACCTCCAAGGGGGTCTATGGCCGCTACGAAAATATAAGGGGACATAAGAAAAACCCGTACACGACCACGCATCCAACCGCTGCTTAACGCGCTGCTTAACGCAGTACGTCGCGGAGAAACTTCAAGGGCCGCCAATCCTGGGCTCTCCTCAGAAACGGACAAATGCTAGAGCAATGCACGTTTTAAATACCTTTAAAAATCGAATGTGAATGTTCAGGATCAACAGTGGACTACATTGCAGGGTTTCCCCCTATCTGCAACCAGTACCGCCCGGCGAGTGGGGGGGGGGGGCGCTGTGGCTGATTGAGCACCACACTGCAGATGGGGAGTGCGAGAGATAGTACAACAGCCCTGCAGTATAGCACAGGGTGATACTGTACCACCTAGGAACAACTACTCTTTTTCAGGCGAGAGAGGGCAGTGTTCTCTCACACACAAAATCAAGTTAAACGGCTCAAAAGTCGCTCGCAGAAATTCACGTCATCGTTTCCCCATTCAGGCAGAACTCCAAAGCAAACCGGAGTCCATCGGTCGCGAATGACACTGCTCTATCTCTTAGCTCGTGCCATAGCTGAATCAATCGGCGCAGGCGCCATTACCGTCCCCTTCATTCGCAAATTCTGATTGGGTGATTTCCGCGATGCTTTCTGGAACTTGTAGTTTACTAGGCCTTGATCTATAGTTGATGTGCCGAGGCTGCAGAGAGACACAGAGGAGCTACGTGGCAGGTAACGCAGCTGCGAGGGAAGCTGTTGGGGAGGGGGGACTATCCCTGCGGCCTCAGCGGGCCAGAGTTGATGCCCAGTTCCTTATTTGCTGTTTCATATTCTTCCCCCAAATGATATTGATGATACTTAAACAGCTTTGGACCGCCCCAATGCATGCATTCTCAGACTATGGGGTCTCTGCCCGTCAAGGTGACACTCTTATGGGCCCAGGAAACTGGGCTTTGAATTGGGCCCCGGCCCGGTTCATGTCACCTTGCAATGCAAAGTCATAGGGTGTATGATTTGGGGTGGTCTAAAACTTACTTTGGGGTGCAGAGTCATTGGTACTTGTGGCTGAATTGGAGAATAAGGAACTGGGAACCAACTTCAACCACCACTTGGTCGCCCTGCTGAATTCACAGCCCGGGAAGTTGGTGGTTAGTTGCAATTCAACACTGCACATCCACACACCCCTGCCACCTGAGCTAGAATCTCACTGGTTAGTACATTGATCTCGACCTTCTTGCAAGGAACTCAGGTAGCATGTGTGATTCTCTTTTCCCCATTTTATTCTCTCGACAGACCTATGAGGTAGGTTAGGCTGAATGTGTGGGACTGGCCCAAGATCACCCAGCAGACTTTGCCGCAAAGCACAGCAGGCAGGAATCTCTTGAGGCTTTCAGAGAAAGTTCATGTGGTGCAGTACAGCATTGGAGTACTGGACTTGGACCAGAGTCCACATCTTCAATTAGGTTGCTGAGCATGTGACCCCGCGTCTGCTTTAGAAGAAAGCAATTATACAAACGTGATTACTGAATAGATAAACCAACTTTTGGCTGACACATTTTTGGGGGAAGAGGCCTGTTCTGTGGCAGCAAGTTACACAATATACAGAAAAGTACCCAGGAAAAGCCCCCCCCCCATCACTTTATTGCCAGAGTTTTTCTGCTACAGTTCTCCATTTGAGAAATATTCCTTAAATTGTAGGTGCTGGCCGGGGGGGGGGGGGGGTGGGATGGAAACCCTACTTGGGAAATAATTCGCTTCTCTTATGATCGCCTAAAGATGTGTCCTGGGATCAACCCAACACTCCTGCTGGAGAAAGAGAGAGCCAATTGGACTTTGCAAGGGGCTGATTTTTTTTTCTGATCACATAATAGATTAGTTTTCCAATGCTTTATTTTTAATGTATTTTTATTTATAACCCTGTTTTTCTTCTCAATGGAGACCAGTTTACAACAGTGTTCTCCCTTCCATTTTATCCTTACAACAACCCTGTGAGGTAGATTAGGCTGAGAAAGCGTGACTGGCTCAGGACTGCCCAGCGAGCTTCCCTGGCAGAGTGGGGAGTTAAGGCTGGGTCATCAAGATCCTCGTCTGGCACACTAACCACTACACCACACCAGCTGTTCTGTGGGAAATTTTCCATTTTTAAAAGATTTGTTGTATAATAAATTAACAACAATAGCTTGATGCCATTACTAATACAACATTAGGAGATTTTGGCCATTTCTAAGGTGACAAAGGTGATTGTGCCTAGGAATTATGAGAGAATACATGTATGTCTGATTTGTATTACATACATATAATCCAATTTTTAAAAAATCAAGTTATGAATTCTTCTGATTGACTGTGCAGGTCAAATCAGAACCAAGGCCGGATTTCATATTTCATTTCAGTTTACAAATGAAAACAAAATCAAAACTGAATTATTTTTGCCTGGCTTTTAGGAAACACTCAGAGAAATGATGTGGAATGCTTTGCATTGTTTTAGTTTAATCAAGATGAAAAGGGAAATAGAGGAACCACTGGTCCCACTGCTATCCTAGTTTCTGTTTCTCAAAACCTATCACTTCTCAAAACCTATTACGAGTATGATCAGTGAAGAAGATAGGTTTTCATAAGTTGCCATTAGATCCACTGGCTTGGATCTTAGAATTTCTGCAGGTACAAGGGGACGCAATCTTTTGCCAACCCCCCCCCCCCCGCGGCTTCTTCGTTTCCCCAACCCTAGTCCTAGGAGCTGCAACCCTGTCCCCCAGGAGCAGCATTCTTTAGTGAAAATGTGGTAGTTCTGAATCAGGTTTGTGTTCCTCTGACACAGAACTAAAAAGTAATGCTAGTGATGTTGTCGAGAATAATAGGGAAACTGAATAACCTTAGTAGAAGAGAGTTACATTCCATTAAAATAGATAATCAGAGAGGCAGTTTGATTGAAATCTCTCTGGTAATGTACAGAAAAGAAATGAGAGAATATATCCTAATACCCCTTTCTGCTGATCAGGAATCCCAGGGATGACAGCAGGCAGGCTCCTACAACTGGCCGATATACCCATCCACCCCGAGCCAGATATACTATTTAGGAATACATGATTTTCATCTGCATGCGTGTGTGCATGTTATCCCCATAAGTGGCCTTGGAGGGGAGGAATACATCCCAAGGCCAAGCCGATTAAGCAGTGGGGGGGAGCAAATGTCCAATACAGATACTCCCTACATTCCAACATCAAGTGCATCAGCTTAACATGAAAACAGCCTGCCACAACGAGATAAATGGACACTAAGAAAGAAAAACATATTTTTAAGAGAGAGCAGCTTCAGTGCCTGTAACTTCTTCAGGGCTGGCCCACAGGGCATCGTGGTTGCAGATGGAGAAACTGTGGTTCACCGCTAACTCCTTCAGTTGCAGTGGTCTTCTGCAAGTGCTGCTACAGAAGTACGTGCTGCATTGTCCTTGAATTTGTACAGGTATTATTCCGATAGAAAATAACTCCCACATAAAGCTTTGAATTTGTGTATAATCACACTTAATCCCCCATCAGCTATTTCAGTTCTAGTATTTATTGCTATTAGGGCATAACATTAGCACAGAGTACTTTATAAATAGTGTTTTCTAAATATAAGTTAACATGCTAAATCAGATCACTTTCTCTTTAGGATAATGTACAATTTTCAAAAACTGTTTCTACCGGAAAACCACAGTGCTGGTTTGTTGCTAGCAGAGGTCATTTCGGGGGGGAACGCGGGGGAACGCAGTTTCCCCGGGTGAGGTACGGGGGGCGGGGCACATGACGAAGCCCCACCCCCTGTTTCTGGCCGCCCCGCTTCCGGCCCTCATTCAGCCAGGAGGAGGCAGGAGAAGAGGGAGGGTAAGTTGCTTCCTCCCTGCCTCTCCCCACCCCTGCCTGTCTGGGGCCAGGGAGGGCCTTCGTGGGGCTTCCTTGCACTCCCGCCGGCCTTGCAGGTCCACCGCCGGGCCCCTCATGGGGCTCGGCAGTGGAGCTGCAAGGCCGGCACCGGTGGCCGGGACCGTTGGGGGCGGGGTGTGTGGCTTTATGACACATTTCCAGTGATGACAGGAGGTGTGGCCTGATGACACACTTCCGGTGATGTCAGGGTGTGTGGCATATGCTAATGAGTTATGCTAATGAGTTCCCCTAGCTCTTTTTCTATGAAATGACCCCTGGTTGCTAGCTTAATAACTGTGGTGATCTGTGAATGCCTGGGACATTTTTTGGACTTCCTGTGCTAACTTCCATTCTTTGCAGCTCAGCTTTTCTGTTACTCTCTTGGCACCCCAGTGTATTGGTAGTCTGAGAGTAACAATTAGTTACTTAGTAACATCCTGTAGGCCACCCGTCAGATCTCTGCATAATTTTCTTGCCTCTTTCTCTTCTCTCTTGAATTCTCCCCCCCCCCCCCCATTTGCAGGGCCTGCGCTGACGTGTACTTCCCAGCATTTCATTTCCCAGCAAAGTCCTTCCCCTGCCTCCTTCCAGTTCTCACATATGCGCATACAACACTCAATGCCTTTTGGATGAATATGCAAACTGTGTCTAATGGACCTAGACAAGATCTAATTTGATGGGCTTTCCTATCTGTTTAAACATCTGTAGATAACAGCTGCATGGTGTGGTAGGATTTGCATCAGGATCACAGATCTGGTGAGAAGTAGCGTTAACCCTCCCCACGCACATGCCCTTTTCTTGATATAAATCTGCATATACATTTCTCCCGTATATTTCCTGTATTAGGGTAAATCCAGTACCACCAGCCGCTATTTAAAGATGTTTAAAGAAACAGGAGATATGTTAATGAATTTCTAATGTCTTATATGTCCTTGAAAAACTTTGCATTTGAGGGTAACGTCAGGAATTCCTGCACAAAGTCTGCGATCCTAAGCACAGTTACTAGGAGTAAGTCCCATTGGACTCAGTGGGATTTACTTCCAAATGTATGTGATTAGAAGGTAATTTCTGAGTGTCCAAATATCTCCATGTGTACTTCCTCTGTAATCCTTGGGCCTGGTTCACACAACAGCTGAACACAACAGTAAAACAGCCTTCGGACTACAGGATGGACAGTTTGTCTGATACTCATTTAAAGGAACCATTGCGTGCAGTGCTATGCAGAGTTACTTCAGTTTAAGTCCATCATTTTCAACAGGTTTAGGATTCCAACATTCGATGAAAATACATACCAATTATTGACTATCAATTTATTAACTATGCACAAGTCCACGTATGAATAACACAATTTTTTTTTGCATGTGTGGGTCACAAGCCAAGGGGCCCCCTAGTGGCATTGGCAGAGCCCTGGGAGCCACTGATCTCAGACTCATACAGGCGTGATGGGTAAGCTTGCAAATTGCTGCATCCTGTGCAGCCACCAATGGGAGCGGTCAACTCAGACCTAGCTAGGGGGCAGCACAGGAGAAGGTGACCAGAGAGCTTGCACCCCTCCCCACATCCTTGCTGCTGGCCAGAGGCCATTCAGCCTAGTTTCTTCCTGGACTGTTTGAACATCCCACCCTGCCCATGTGGGTCACAGCGAGCTTGTCTCCAGAGTTATGTCCCCCTCCTCTCCTAGGACAGCATCTGTGAGCTGTAGGTTTTGTTAACCTATTAAAAGCAGTTAACACTTAGCCCTGACCTGGATAGCCCAGGCAAGCCCCATCTCATCACATCTTGGAAACTACGCGAGGCCGACCCTGACAAGTAATTGGAAGGAAGACCTCCAAGGAATACCAGAGCGTGGGGAGCAAAGGCAGGCTATCAAGCCACCTCTCTGAAACGTCCAAGCCCCACTAGGGATCGCCAGAAGTCACCATGAGTTCCAGGCATGCAAGCGCACACAGACACACAACATAAAAAACCCCAGTAAACACTTAAAAAATATGTTGTCGAAGGCTTTCACAGCCGGAGTTCATTAGTTGCAGTAGATTTTCCGGGATGTGTCCATGGCCACGCATCCCGGAAAATCTACAGCAACTTTAAAAATACATTGTGTCTCCCATATTTAGTCGATCTGGAGGCTTTTAACTGATTACCCAATGAATTGGCTTAACAGTGCAGCCCTTTCTGCAATAAAACAACTCCTCCATGTTCATAGAAACACTCTTTGTGTGAAGTAGACCTTAAGACCCGGCTGTTAGGTTGGCCGGCTTTATTACTGTGGCACCCTTTATTATTACTGCATCCCTTCCCACTTTCTGCACACAACGCAGGAGCTCCCTGGCTCCCAACACACATTCCTGTCTATCTGTGATGGCTGTTCCATATGTGCAGGTTACCACTGGATGCTGCAGTTGAGAGACGAACATGCCTGAGTTCATCCTTACTCTCCTCTATTTTCAGTCTTGCCCTGCTACTGACACTGCTGTTCTCTGCCTGGTCTCCAAATTCCTTCCTTTCCTACGCACTCTGGACCCTTCAGCCTGTGACTCTGCTTTGCATCCCTACCGTACGTTTACATGGTGTTTTAATGTGAACCCTAACGTAGGCGATACATTGATAGAAGTTGTGATTCTCCTGTGTTAGGTCTGTGACAAATAAGTGCACACAATTCCATAGTAATTCACTTGGGTTGGGGGGAGGAGATCTGTGAAATGCTTATGCTCTGGCAAAGATCCCCGAGGCAGGACAGGTGTGCTGCGGTCTCTGTCCTGCAAATGGCAGTTTGTGCATCTGTGTCTTAGGTCTATCCGAGCAAAGGACAAGGGTCTATCCCTGTGTTTGTGGTGGGTAATTCTTGGCTTCTGTCTCAGTAGGAGAAGTAATCTGAGTCTGTTTCTATCTGTCATTGCAGTTCCTAGAAAAGCCAAAAAATGTAACAAAGGGAAAATTGCTAATCTTTACATTAGCAGATTCAAAGGCAATTTTAGGAAATGGACTAGGAACAGAATCAATGGGTAGCCAAATTGGGTGGTATTGCCTGTTAGTTGGTGGGCTTGTTTTTCTGTCTCTTGCAAAATTTCATCCTCTGTACCTGTGGTTGTGGTGGCTCAGAGGTTAAGACACTAAGCTGCAGACCAGGAAAGTTGGTAGCTCAGCAGTTCGAGACCCTAGTGCCGTGTGACAGAGTGAGCTCCTGTCTCTGGCCCCAGCTCCTGCCAACCTAGCAGTTAGAAAGCAAGAAATTGCAAGTAGATAAATAGGTACCACTTCGGTGGGAAGGTAACAGCATCCCATGTGCCTCAGCATTTAGTCATGCTGGCCACATGACCATGGAAAAGTCTTCAGACAGCGCTGGCTCTTCAGCTTGAAAACGGAGATGAGCACCGCCCCCTAGAGTTGGATTCGACTGGCTTTTGAGCAAGGGAAACCTTTACCTTTACCTTTCTGAGTGCCCGGTTTCTCTTTCTTCCTGCAGATTTTGATGTGTGTCCTTTCGCAAAGAGCCCTTCTGGTAGGTCGCAGGTTGGGCTGGGCAGTGCCGGGGAGCCAGAGCTGTTGTAAGTTGGGATCCAGGGGGGTTTCCCATTTGTCTAAGGCCATGAGGTTGGTCCAGTTCAAAGCCAAGGGATCAGCGGTTGCACCCCGGATCGGGCTGGAAGAGAAAGAAGGAGGCAACGTGATAGACCTGAATGCTTTTGATCCATCTCTGCCCAAGACCATGAGGGGATTCCTGGAGGAAGGAGATGCAGCATTTGCCATAGCTAAGAGGTATGGAGGAGTAAGAGGTAAGGCATTGCTAGATGGCACAGAGAAAGGCAGAATAAAATGAGGCAGTGGACAGCGCAAAAAACCTCAGTTTCAAGGTATCTGTAATTTTGTGCCAAGGAGGGGTGGGGTTAAAGAGCAAAGTAGGAGCACAGGAGTAGAAGTTTAATGAGAAGGCTTCAGGAGCACCGGAGCTTTAACGGTCCATCCCTTTGCCTCTGCTGCTTCTGATGATTGATGCTCCCTCCCAGAATTCCTTTGTTGTCCCACCTCCCTTTCTTCCTTCAAATTGTACCCGAAAACTCAACTGTTTTGGGAAGCCCATTGACTTAGCCCTCAATCAAAGCCAAGGGTAAATAGATATGGTTACTTTTGTGCCTTTACATTTCCTTTCCTTTTCTCTGTCTGTTGTTGATATTTAGATTAGACTCCTTGGAGCAGCCAAGAACCTCTCTTTCTTTCTGTTAAACGTAATTTTTAATTTAAAAAATAAAATTTTACAGTACAGTACAAGATCACTTTTTTCATTCTGAAACAACAAAAGTTATAAATGAACAATCATTCTTCTTCTTCTTTAAATTAACAATCATTACAATACTACAAATACAAAATTTAAAGCTTGTTGATGTAACAATTACTAAATTAACTCTCAGTCTTGACTATTTATTCATTTCCATTATCCTTTTCATGTAAAAGTGAGGCACAGTTGTACAAGTCTAGGGTTGCCAGCAATGTTCCCTCTAAGATGAGTTAGTGTAAGCTAGCTCACAGTTTTTTAGCCTCTGGCTCACACATTTTTGTCTTCGCTCAGGAAGGATGGCTCCAGAGCAAGCTAATTTATGCAGCAGCCAAATCACTGGCTCACAACTTCAATGCCAGTAGCTTACAAAGTAGACTTTTTGCTCACAAGACTCCACAGCTTAGAGGGAACATTGGTTGCCAGGTCCCCTTGTTGTGCCAGTGGGCGGATTTGGGGGCATTCTGGGAGTTGGCAGGAACATTGCATGACACACTGACATCACCTGGAAGTGATGTCTGTAAGGTCAGGGGTGATGCTGTGGCTTCTGGGCAAACTCTATGGTAAAAATGGCCTCAAACCATAGAGTTTTGCCCAAAACCAGAGCGTCACTCCCCCCAACATCTCTGACATCAATGTTAGTGTATTGTGCCTGTTGTTGGGGATGGGGGGGGCAGGAGCGGGGGGGGAAGGAGGGGCAGGGCACATTTGGGTGGGGGTGTTGCCCCCAAGGACCCCCCTTGTGGCTACGGGCCTGCTAAGTCCCTTTTCTACTTTCTTATTATATACTATATCCTCAAACTTTGTCAAACATGAATTTATATTGTTTGCCAGCTTTTTTGCCATAACAAAACTACGTATTTGAAAAAATTGAAACCATTTTGCAGTTCCATTTTTCTTCCTTATTTCCACATAAGAGAGGCAATTCCCAGGCCTTCACTTTTCCCCTTCTATTACTTTGCAAAAACACCAGATGCATCAGGCAATATATTCTCTGTGCTTTTCTTTCTCTGGAGACTTCATTGGACAATATCTGCATCTTATGAAGCATTTCTCTGGAGTCATAAGAACTAGAAACTTTCATTTTTAAAATAATTAATTCTGTATTTGTGTTAAAAACAATGTTATGCCACCCTTTCTATCAAAAATGCCTGAAGTGCCTCAAAAAGGCCTAAATTAAATACCTCAAACAACATCGCTGTACATCAGACTGACAAACTTAGGCATGAGGCTTGTTTTACAGAAAGAAGCCAGGTGATACAGGGAGCAGCTTTATAAATGCTGTTGTAGGATAGCCAACTTTTTTGTTAGCCTATTTCCATGTCTTGAATATCAACACATCCACAGAAATTAAGCAGGTGAGGATTTTCGTTTTGTCTGTGGACCAGAAAGAGCTTCACCTGCTAAATATCTACCTCTTGGGCTGCAGGTAAAGAAACAGTTCAGGAACTGGATAAAAAATGTTATAATGGGAACTTCGGTACATCCTCCTGGTTTTCCAATAAACTGATCCCAGCCACTTGTGACGGAACTAAGCCGATTTATTTACTGCAACCACTCCAGTAGCCGTCTTAACAACACAAAAGCTTCTCCTTCCAAGATACCACCAAGAGTCAGGTGGCCTTGCCTCCAAGTAACTCTTCCTTAACTGTCATCTTTTGTAACCCTTTAACCACAAGAAGTGTGTGTGTGTGTGTGTTAAGACTTCTGACTTCTGACAACTCTACAAATTAATGTCCTCCAAAACGTGCTGTTGTTAACAGCCTTGCTCAGGTCTTGCAAACTGAGGGCCCTCGTGTCTTCCTTGATTGAGTCAATCCATCTCCTGTTAGGTCTTCCTCTTTTCCTGCTGCCTTCAACTTTTCCTAGCATTATTGTCTTTTCCAGTGAGTCTTGCCTTCTCATAATGTGACCAAAGTACAATAGCCTCAGTTTAGTCATTTTGACTTCCAGAGAGAGCTCAGGCTTGGTTTTGATCTAGAACCCCCTTTTTTGTCTTTTTTGGGGGGTCCACAGTACCCATCCAACTTTCCTCCCACACCACATTTCAAATGAATCAACTTTCTGTCTGCTTTCTTCGTTGTCCAACTTTTACACCATACCTAGTAATGGGGAATACTGTGGTCTGAATTATCTTGATACTGGTTGCTAGCAACATGTCCTTACACTTATGAATCTTTTCTAGCTCCTTCTTGACTGCCTTTCTCAGAAAAATAAGTGGGCAACTCTAATTCTGATAAGGCCATTTATAAATTCTGGGAGTCTGATTATTATATTATCACTTGACGTTTAGAGAATACAAATTAATTCATGTCCATTATCTCACTGATCGTTAGAACAGCACTGTAAGGTAGGTCAGTATTATGTCCATATTACAAATGGAGGCCTGAGACAGGGAGAGACCACCCAAGTAACTTTATGGCAGAGGTGCAGACTGGAGCTTTCTTGTCTGGAAATAACAGGTTTCAGGGGGTTGGAAGGCATTTGAGAGGTTTTGCGCCCTGTGGATTATATACCAATTTTGTGCATCCCAAACAAGTTTCATGGATTTTAGATTTTTTTTCCCCAGAAAAAAAGAAAGTGATTCAGAACAAGCCACAAAAAATGGGATGAGTATACATAACGTGTGAAGGGATCCATTTCTTATACCACACAAAAAACTGATGTCTGTCTCCATCCTCCACCCTAAAGTGTGATGCTGTCACAGGTTCCCTTGGAAGATTTTCATGGCTCCCCCTTCTCTGTATCCACAGGGCACAAGAGTCTGGCCAACATGTCCTGCCCCGTGCGGAAGTGTCCCTCTTGGCTCCCATAACTAACCCCGATAAAGTGATCTGTGTGGGAATGAACTATGTGGACCATTGCTTGGAACAGAATGTGAAAATCCCCAAGGAGCCCATCATATTCAGCAAGTTCCCCAGCTCCATTGTGGGACCCTACGATGAGATCATCCTCCCAGCGGAGAGCAATGTAAATGCCACTAATGTCCTGGGTGGTTCCTTCCAGCAGGGATCTGTTCTCATGGAAGCAGGAAGCTTCCTAATTGTTGAACAGGCCAGGAGAGCGACCTGCAAGATGGCCAACTGTGTATGAGTCAAAAGCAAGGAGGCAGATTCCCTCTTGTCAGTATCCTCCACTCTTACAAAAGAGTATTCATTTTTTAAAAAAACTGTTTCCTGTCATTATAGTAGCATGGATGGTATGGGTGAAATCTCAGGAATCAAAAAGAAATTTCTAGGGGTCAGAGTGTTTTAGTGATTTGTTTACATCCTTGCCTCTCTGTCCATGGCTACCAGCCCCTGCCTGTGTGACCCAACCTTATCTCCTTTCATCCCCCACTTACTGATATTTTATTGAATAACACAGACTTGGGGAAACAAGATCAGTAACAAGAACAGTGTAGCAGCCGTAATAGCCCAGACCAGCCCAATCTCATCAGAGCTTGGAAGCTAAGCAGAGTCAGTACTTGGGTGGGAGACCGCCAAGGAAGACTGGGGTTGCTATGCAGAGTAAGGCAACGGCAAACACCTCTGCTCATCTCTTGCTTGAAAATCACATGAGGTGGAACTTCACAGGGTCACCATGAGTTGGTTGCAGCTTGATGGCACACTTAAACTTTACAAGAACGGCTAGTATATGTTACATGCTTACTCTACATACTGTACTCTGGTGGCAAATTTTTACTACTGTGTAGAATTTGGAGGGTTTTAATTGCTGATCTTTGGGTGCCAAATGTAAACTTCAACCTTACTCTTTTTTTCTCCTCTAGAAAGTAGACTGGGAAGTGGAGCTGGCCTTTGTCATTGGGAAGAAAGGAAAGCACATCCAGGTAGTCTCATCAAAGCAACGTCATTTTTTGTTTGATTTGATTTCATAACCCGGCTTGTCTGCAATGTGTAGGGCAAGGCTAAAACAATCTGATCTAAGTATAATACTCGTGACTACAACGAATGCAGCACCATCAGTGTGCAGGGAACTTGGCAATATTTCATTCATTAAAAGACAAGTCCCTGCCCCGAGAAGCTTACGTTCTAAATTCTAGTTGCAAGGAGGGCAATCAAGTGAGTAGTAGAGGGAGGGAACAAAGGTAACAAAATGGAGAGAGGAAAGGCAAGGGCAGGAAGGGGAAATATAAGAACAGTGGTGGAAGTGCAGGATCAGGCCCTGTTTCTTAGCTCCAACTGAGCTTCTAAGTGCTGCTGGTTTCTAACTCCCAGAACTGGAGACCTTGGCAGGCACCTGCTTGAGAGTGAAGCCCTGTTTGTTATGCGCATCTGTCTTCCCCAGGAGCCGGATGCCATGAGCCATGTTGCAGGGTTCACCGTTGCCCACGATGTGAGTGCCAGAGACTGGCAGACGGAGAAGAATGGGAAGCAGTGGCTTCTGGGGAAAACGTTTGACACCTTCTGCCCTCTGGGACCAGCTCTGGTCACCAAGAACTCCGTGTCAGGTGTGAAAGCGGCAAAGTCCTTTTGTCTTCCTGTTTCCCATGCTTGTGGAGATGACAAGGCTGCCTCAGGGCAGCTTTCCAGGCCAGTTGCTACAAGAGAACTCCCAGCATCCTTTTAGGCAGCCTATGGATCTGGCAACACTCTTAGGCACCAACTTGTTTCCGCACAAAGCCCACCAGTCTTGGCTTCCCTGCTTGTCTTGCCACACATGATGTACAAGCACATGTTGTGACAAATCTTGCAGCCTTAGTACTTGTGGAAATGTTCTGAGTCCTCTGCAGTAGCTGAATATCAACTGTATGCATATGTGTATACCATACAAAATCTGGATAAGCCCTCAGCAGGCCCAGTTTCTGCAAAGGGCAAGCCTGGTGCAGACAAAGGGCACTGCAGATACCTCTCTATATCATAGACACATGCTGGGCCCTTAAGGCAAAATAGACTTCATTTGGAGAATATATAGCCCTTCATTGTTTCTGGCTACTAGCCTCCCTTAAGAGCAGTTTTCTATGCCCCCTTTTCATGGATAGACCCCCACCCCTCCAATCCAGCAAGGGAGATGCAAGCCCACAAGCAGCTTTCTGTGTGCACCAATGTACAGCTCCAGCCCCATTGTGATGATATCCAGGGCTGGACACATCTTTTGATGTATGTCCCTGTTACACATGAGCAGTTGCTTGTGACTGCAGCTGGATCAGGGCCAGAAACGTTCCTCAGCGACACCACTTCTGTGTAGTTAATGTCTGCTTCATAGGATCTGCCTGAGACAAATGCCTAGGGATGCAGGAGATCAACCGGAATGTAATCTGCCCACAGCAATGGCCAGTTGTGATTACCTCAAGACATCGGGTACTCTGACTTGCAGCTATGCTGTGCAAGTGCAGGAACTGGCAGTGAGGGCAGCGTCTGAGAATCTCCACTTCTGGTGTGTTTTTTTGTTTGTTTTTTAAAAACCGGCACACAAGCCTGAAACTGATCTGGGCCAGGTTTGCTAACACCTCTGTCGAGGGAGACTGGCAGTGCTCAGAGTGTCTGGCTGTTTTTCTGCACAGCTCCTTCTTCTAAACAGCAAAGTAAGTAGGACTGCAACTTTTAGTTAATTAATCAGCAGCGTTTATTGATTGATTTAAAAAGATGAATAAACAACACAAGAACTTTAAAAAACTCTTGTGTGACAGGCCCCGCTGTGGAAGGAGCGCTTCCCCCTTTTCTCACCAGATCATCTGGCCAGCATTCATTTGCTTGATTTAAATAATTGATTCAGGTCATTACATTTCAGCTTTTCTTGACATTGAATTTGAATTTTTGGGAGCATTTTAAAAAATTTTAAAAAGTGATTCCTCACCCTGTTGATCAGAGGGCACCTACCCCCTACATGCAAAGGCCCCCTTACTTGCTTGGGACTGCATGCTCTCTACTCCATTTGAGACTTCACATTGCTTCTATTTCTGCCTAGATCCGCATAACCTGGGGATCCGCTGCAAGGTGAATGGGGAGCTTGTCCAAAACAGCAGCACCAACCAGATGATATTCAAAACAGAGGCACTCATTGCATGGGTCTCCAAGTAAGTGCTGCTTAGTTCTTGTCCCTTTAATCACCGGTTTGTATAAAGTGGTCTGCAGACCAGTGAAATCTGGTAATTGCACTGCTAGTTTCTGGTCCAATACAAAGTTCCAGTTGTGACTTTCTTAGCCCTCCATGAAATAGGGCCTGCATATCCTTGAGAGTTCCCCTTCTAATGCACCCCCACCATGTGCAGTGTGAAGACCTGTCTCCTACAGGTCCTTTCAATTAAGGAAGCAAGATCAGTAGCAGCTAGGACCTTGTTAGTTATTGCCACAAGATTCTTGAATGAGCTTTCTAAGGAGTATCAATATACCTCCCTTTTATGTCTAGAAACAGTGTATGGTCCATTGTTAAGACAGCTTTGGTGGTTTGCTGCTCATTGTCGGTGGACAAAGGACTGCAGTAGAGCTCTGCTTTCCATCCAGCCCCCTTAATGACCTGTCAGTCAAATAGGCATGGAAAGTGTAGCTCTTCTGAACCCCAGCAGGATCTTTTGCATGCAGCCATGCACCATACGTATGTCCACGTTTGTCTCCTGCTGTAGAACTTGTTTTGTTTGTTCCAGTTTTTATACTTCTCAAGCTTTGAATGTTAGAAGCCACCTTGAATGTAGACTGAAGCAGGGATAGGCAGGACCTCATGCATGCTGGGAGCCCAGAATGGCACACAGAATTCAGCTGTCACACAAACAGAATTAGAAATTTCTAGTTCTTATGATTACAAAGATCTGTTTGGGAAAGTGTGGCTTGATGTCAGTGTGTTGTTGTTGGCAGGTTTGTCACCCTGTACCCAGGTGACATTTTCCTCACCGGGACTCCTCCAGGTGTCGGATTTTTCCGGAAGCCTCCAGTGTTTCTGAAGGTGAGTGCTGCTCTCAGTGGAGCATGGGTGACATTAGCATGTGGAGAATCTTAGTCCCATTGCTAAGGCAACTTCAGTGTTTACTACTCCCCTGTAGTATTTTTATACTGCTCTTATCAGTTGGGGCATACATATTTTTTTGGTCTTGTTCTTCCCCTGAAAGATTAACTACTTTGACAAGAGCTAAGTAAGTAAAAGTCTAGGAGGGGCCATTGTCTGCAACCACTAGAACCATCACCACTAGCTTTATGGTTTACAAAGAGGAAATAAGTGATCCAAGTGGCGTACAATAGTGACTTACAAAAGTTGTGAAGTCCCATTGTTGCCCCAAATCTCTCCTCAGCTACCGGTTTATTCTCCCAGCCTCAGTCTCACTTTCCCAGCCAACACAAAATGGGGACAGAAATAACCTCCCTTTGAACAGTTCTTGGACTGGGTGGAGGCTTCATTACAAGTCATTGGGTTGCCCACTGATTTTTTTTAGCAGCCAGCCAGCTGGCCAACTTCCTCCCTCCTTCCTGGGTAGCTTTTTCCCCCGAGAGCAGCAGCAGCCACTCACAGTCCAAGGGCCAGAAGAGGTCTGCTTTCCAGCCTGCCTTAGGATAGCTGTTCAAAGGCTGGCAGGAATTGTGGAAGCCGCTGGGGCTCCTTGTATCTGCTCGGCAGGTTCTGGAGCATTCTGCAGCACTTCCACTGCCTCCCTCCTTCCAAGCTTGAAGCAACATGCCCACGGAGTGGCAAACGCAGTGGAAATGGCTGCCAAATGCAAGGCAAAGCTTGTTCTTGTGCTTTCGCTGAGCCAAGGAAACGGTGATCCTAAGGCCCCCCCCAGAAGTCAGTCGCTTAGTTTGCTTTTCTCTAAACTCAAAAAATAACAAGCAGCAAAAGAGCTAGCATTACTCTTAACAGGGGGTACGTATCTGTGTTCAAACTGAAAATGGCACTTTAATGCTTTTGAATAACCATGAAAGGAGGGAACAGGTTCAGTTCAGATGACGTGTGACTTATTTCTTAAGTGTTCTGCTGGTTACTTCATGGCAACGAGACCACTGCAAATGCTCTTTACTGTCTTTATTTTGTGATGTTCCTTTTTCACCACCTTGAAGGTGCAAGTTCATGCTTTGAAGCCTGCTCAATTTCTTTTTTTAATTTTTTTTTAAAGAGTGGGAGATCACACAATTTTGGGGGTGGGTGGGTGGGTGGGGCAGATTATATAAACCTGTTGGCTTTGCCAAAGCCTGCTGTAAAGAGTTTTATATGTGCTACCATCCACAAAGGGAATAACCCCATGCTTGTTTACCACAGAGAGGCGACGAAGTCCAGTGCGAGATTGATGAACTGGGAACCATCCGAAACAAGGTGGCTTGATTGGGTAGCTTCTGATCCCGAATAGCTGCAGCTACAAATGCCTTAATACTAGTTTCTAATCGGGAACACAGACTGGTCTAAAATTTCCTTAATGGGCCTCCTAACTGATTGGTTGCCTCTTCCGGAACTTCTCATAGCCACAGGACTGGAGAGACAGCCAGCCACAGATCAAGTCCCAGTCAACGGCTGCTGGACACTTCCATGAACAGCAGCAATTAAAGAGAGCACATGTGAAGCGTGTATCTATTAGTCACAGCAGACCTGCCTGCCCCACTTCTAACCAGGCTCTGGTGTCCAAAAAGCTATGATACGAGTGCACAGGTGGATATGTCAATCTGTTTAAGGCAAAAAGAAACAGGGAGCTGGGACAAAAAGGAAGTCAGGAGACAAGAGTTTGTTGGACAGTCTCAGGGCTCTTTTTGTAGAAAAAGCCCAGCAGGAACTCATTAGCATAATAGGCCACACCCAACAGCAGGAACTCAGTAGCATATTGGGCCACACTCCTGAGCACAGCTCATTAGCACATTAGGCCGCACCCCCATGTTACCAGAAGTGTGGTTATCCAGCCACACCCATTTTTTGCTTGTTATTCTGTTTACCTTGTTTGTTGTCAAAACCTAGGGCTTTTTTGTAGCAGGAACTCCTTTGCATGTTAGGCCACACACCCCTAATGTAGCCAATCCTAATGAGTTCCTGCTGTTGGCTGTGGCCTATTATGCTAATGAGTTCCTCCCGGGTGGCCAACTTGGGAGCCAGCCGGAACTCCGTTCCTGTGCGTTCCTGCCCAAAAATAGCCCTGGACAGCCTGAGATTTTACAAATTGATTTGGTTGAATTTGGACATGCTTCACCTCTCCACCCTGGCCCTTCACACCACAAACGGCCAACTTTTCCCCTTTAGCAGTGATTCTTCTCCCAGTTGCTTCAGTTTGCGTTCCATGTGGCCCCATTGCCTGTGCAGCCAGTGGAGTGTAAAGAAGCATTTCTAAGCCAGTGAGGGAAGGTATAAAACGTACTTTTTAAAAGTAGAAGTTAAAACCATTTTTATCCATGCTGGGTAGAAGTTTTGTCCATGGAGGAGAACACAAGCAGGTGGTCAAGTCTTAAGAAGTTTTAGACACGCGTCAACCTGCGAGCTCACTAAGCAGACCAGTCAGAAAACTCCAACACTGACACATTTTATTCAGTAATGGCCACTACTCTACGGGATCTGCCAACTATTCAACTCTGGGATTTTCAGATGGGTCATAATGAGACAGGCATCAAGAACAAAGAGGAGGGGGAGGGCAGAAGGTTGCTGCCCCACTCTGGGACAGGGTGACCTCTACTTGAGCAAAGGAAGCAGGAACTAGTATGCTGATTGCCAGATAAACTGTTCAATGAATTTTCCCAGTTTCTCCCGATTCTCTTTGGAGATGAAGGTCTCAGAAAGTTGGAAAACGGGTTCCATTTTCCCTGGCAGTTCTTGCAGTACCTGGAACAGAGATCAAGGTCAGGTAAAAAGGTCAGCACTCCTACACCCTGGGGGCAAAAGGTAATCTTTATGGAAACAGAAACTCCCATCCAACCTCACAAGCATCAGCTAGCAAAATGGAGAAGGAACGGTGGAATTAGCATCACCCCCATCAGTGGCACAAAATGGTGCAGAAGATGCCACTGTGGGGTTGCTGCTTTCAGCAGCCATGTGACAGCCTTTTTGTCATCTGGTGTCGTCCATGAAAAAACAGGCTGCTGGTGAACATGGTGAGTTATAAGCCTGACCACCTGTGGATACGTTCAGAAGAAAGAAAAAACAACAAATAAAGGAGACTGGTTGGAAATCCAACATTTTCTTGTTTGCCAGATGAAATTGTATAAGGTTCACCTTGAAGTGATAAGTGGCAAGCCTGTATATATTATTCTTTTCCAGTGGCTGAAGCTACTGAGCAGTAGCATTTTCCCCCTCAGGAAGTAGAGATACAAGACTTTCTGTGGTGAGGCTGGGCTTTTACCCCATTCTTAATCTGTTTCTCTGGTCAAGGCTCGAGGTGGATTTAACTACATCCAGTCCAATGAAACACTTAAATGGCACTTAATATGCACAAGTCCTTCAAAGCCACATTTTAACTCTGTGGGACTGCTTGTTACTGTTAGGCTCTGCTAGTTTTTAAACTTGTAAAAATGTATTCAAACTGTAATTGGGGGGGGGGGCAGTTTATACAACTGCCCTACTACACAGAGCTCCAACCGGATGGCTGCATTGCAAGTGATGTCCCACAGGGTTACCTGCATGCTGCAGCACAGATAAGGGGCGCTGTGAGCTATATCAAAGGTCATCCTGGGAGTTGGTGGAGAGGCTGAATTTTGAGCCCACATCTCCTAATTCAACACCAATCGGATAAACTGCACTAGAGGGACAGGATCAAGATGATGGGATCTTTAAACCATAGGGAAGGGAAGGAAGCAATACTGAAATCCAAAACTGCCTGTGCCTTTTATTGTTACCATGAGGACTGGGAAATTGTTCTCTTTTAAAAAAGAGTGGGATTCTTGGGGATTTTAGGAGGGGAGATTAAAGAACTACGATCAGACAAGGAGCCGAATCTTAGGCCCATTCTGAAACAGCAATCTAGAGTGAAATGGAATTAACTAACGAATTAATTAATAACAAGCATTTGAACCATGCTTTTAGTGTTCAAAGCATACGTCATCCTTACAACCATCTCATAAGGTATGCTGGTGGTATACTCATATTGCAAATGGAGGTGGGGGACTAAAGCAGGCAAAGCCACTTTAAGGCTACTTAATGATTTTAGGGCAGAGATGAGATTTCAGTTTCCATCTCCTGGATTTCAGCTCATCTTCTAGACCCACACAATATCAGGGATGCAGAATGAGAACCAGGGGAAAGGCAACATTAACATCAGGGAGCATTCAGGGATGTGAATTTCAACAGCTGACAGTGCCAGCGTGTCAGGAAAGCATCAGAGGAGGAGTACCCTTACCCCCAGTTCTTTATAGATGGAGATGGAGACAGCAGCCAGAGTCTTGTTGGCACATTCTAAAAAAAGGGAAAACATCATAAAATGAGACTGGGGGAGAGAGAAAAAAGAGGGTCTGTTTTTCAGAGGAATCTTGTGGCAACAAGTGGGGGGAAGGTGGCACTAGGTGGGCGGCACTGGCTGGCATAAGCTGCTTTTTTGGGTGTCTGCCAAGTTCTGAGGGGGCAAATGGTGGAAATCAGTGCAGTTTTATAGGCGTACTGGCACTTTGTTGAAAAAAACAAAACAAGCACTTGATACTGGGAGAGCATGCCATAGCTGAGGCACTGTAACTGAGAAGGTCCTGTCCCTTTCAACTACCTATCTAAAAGAGATGGAACGGGACCCCCAAAACTCTCAAGGCAGCAGAGAATCTTCTGTTCATCACACATTAAAACAAAAGCTTTCCAAGCCATTCTGCACAGAGAGTAATAAGGAGAATCTGCCACACAGCAGGCATTTTGTTTCTGTGTACATGAAACATTCATAGGGTTGGGGGGAAAAGTCTTCATACCATTACCCACCACCACCAAGAATTCCATGCAACTCAAAAGCATTACCTTCTGGACTATTATATCATCATCTCTCCTCATGGTAACAGTCTTCTCAACACTCTCAAATCTCTGTGTAGTGGGACTTATCAAGGACAAATTGGGAGAGGGGACCAAGGCAGCTGAGAGAACCAGGATCAAATGCCAACTTTTTAAACTGATCAACAAGATTGGTATGAGCTGCCCACAATTCTCTTGCCATTGAATCCTCTCCACGCCTTCAGACCTACCAAAAGAACAGTCTTCGTTCGCCTTCCTCACCAAGAACTGGTGCAGCTTCTCCATGTACTGCGACTCTGTTGGGGGAGGGGAAGCATATATAGTTAGAAAAGCACCAGGGAGGACCCTCCAATCAGCAGGCCAGCCTTTCCAATGTCACTAACAAGTCTCTAACATCACTAAAGAAGATCTATAGGCAAAAACTTGCAAGTCAAATATCACCCAACTCTGCCTATCTATGAAATGCAAATTGCAGGCTTGTGCAACCTCAATTTGCATCAGGCCATGCACAGAAGGGAGAGACAGTTTAAGCCATCAATCTATGCTTGATTTTGCTAATTTAAACCATCTCCGCACTCTGCTATTAGCATTTTTAAGAAAGTATTCTTTAAAAACAAATTTCTCCTTTAAAATGCACCTCAATGCATACTGAGGCTGCATGCCCATGTAATGTACATTTTCTAAAAGAATAGAGAAACATGGTCTTCATCTGTTTGCTTTCCCCCCTAAACATCATACTGGGTCAACATTTAAATACAAAACAATAGTAGGACATCACATCAAAGGAGGGGCAAATAGTATCTCAGACTGCATTTTTCCTTTATTGGAAAACTAGGAGTAAGGCTCGTTGTGGGAAGAAATATAACGAGCTCTAGAAGGAAGCTCCAGGTGAGTGTCCCGGCTGTGGCTGGTGGGGTGGCAGAGGGAAGGGGAAAACAGAGGGAGGCAAGCCATTTTTATTTCCTTCTTCGCTATAAGGCAGGGCTGTCTCAAGTCATTTTGCTGCCCCAAGTGGTTAGTATGGGAGGACAGCCTCATGGTAACAGGCATGGCTCCCTCCACCCCTAACTTATGTTAATTTGGGGCTATGCAGCTGCAGCTGAGGTAGAAAAGCACCTCCTCCTATGCCATGTCTTCTGGGTTCCAAGAGTCTGGAAAACAGCCAGTTACAGGATTGCCAACTCTGGGTTGGGAAATACCTGTAGATTTGAGGGGTAGAGCCTGGGGAGGGCAGGGTTTGGAGTGGGGAGGGACGTCAGCAGGGTATAATGCCATAGAGTCCACTGCCCAAAGCAGCCATTGTCTCCAGGAGAACTGATCTTGGTTGTCTGGACATCAGTTGTGATAGCTGGAGATCTCCAGGTGCCACCTGGAGGTTGGCTTATGTTAATTTGGGGCTATGCAGTGACAGCTAAGGTAGAAAAGCACCTCCTCCTATGCCATGTCTTCTCAGTTCCAAAAGTCTGGAAAACAGTTCCGTAGCCAGTTACAGGGTTGCCAACTCTGGGTTCGGAAATACCTGTAGATTTGAGGGGTAGGGTTTGGGGTGGGGAGGGACGTCAGCAGGGTATAATGCCATAGAGTCCACTGGCCAAAGCAGCCATTGTCTCCAGGAGAACTGATCTTGGTCATCTGGACATCAGTTGTGATAGTTGGAGATCTCCAGGTGCCGCCTGGAGGTTGGCTTATGTTAATTTGGGGCTATGCAGTGGCAGCTAAGGTAGAAAAGCACCTCCTCCTATGCCATGTTTTCTGGGTTCCAAGGGTCTGGAAAGTGGTTCCATAGCCAGTTACAGGGTTGCCAACTCTGGGTTCGGAAAAGGGAAAATGATGTGCTGTGGCTGGGGAACACGGTGGTTTCTGGGAGATCTCCAGGCCCCACAGGGAGACTGGGATATGTATTTTACCTCAAGACTCCCAACAGCAACAGCAGACTGTTTAGAATGTTAGAGGCAAAGGCCAATCAGGCCACATATGCAAATGACCTCTGTGTTCTGACTGGCTATGGGGGGGAGAGGAACAGCAAACTGTTTAGAATGTTGGAGGCAGGACTCAGGCAACGCAGCCAGTGGACAGGGAGACCCTCTGAATAACAGATCATTCAGCCAACCAATTTCGGAGTGTGTTGGAATGTTCAGGGGAGTCCATGACCAAAACAGAATCTCTCCATATATATTTGACTTTTGGTGTCCCTCCTGGACACGCTTCCACAGCCTTTGGCCCGCTGAGATGCTGCTCTCACAGTCTCCCAATCCCATGGCTGCACTGGTTCGCTGTGTTGGCTCGGCCCCGCCCACTGAGCCGGTGGGCAGCATTTCGCCCTCAGTCTAGAGGGAGCCGGCGAAGGGAATGGACGCTCTACTGAGAGAGCAGCAACCCTTCCACGGGGGAGAAGAAGGCAGACGTAGGGAGCAACGGCAAACAGGGGAAGCACTCACCTTCGCTGCCCCTTGCAGCCCCTCTCCCTTGGCCACAAGGCCTGCACCGCAGAGAAGGCTGCCCCAGCACCTTTCAAAGGCTCCCCCACCTTCCTTCAGCAGTGGCGGCAGCGCCAGGGAGGGTCTGGCCTAGAGGAAACGGCTCCTGGAAAGCTGGACTCTCTCCTAAGGAAGACAGTTCTCTTGGCTCCTGTGTGAGACTAACTGTGACTAACTGTCTCCTCAGTGGCTATTGGTAGGCAAGCAAACAACCAAGCTTGCTTCTGTGAGAAAAAAAAGTCCCCCCCCCCCCGGCTTGGCCACTTTCCTGTAACAATAAATTTAACACGCCTCTCACTCCTTTTTGGCTCCGCCATGGCTGGCTGGCTGGCTAGCTAATGAGGTGGGCCAGTGACCATCAAACCATTCTCTTCAGCCCCCTGCAGTGCAGCTGAGATTCCCCTAGGGTTGCCAATCTCCAGGTGAGACCTGGAGATCTGCTGTTACAATTGATCTTCAGATGACAGAGATCAGTTCCCCTGGAGAAAATGGCTGCTTTGGAGGGTAGACCCTATGGCATTATCCCCTCCTGAGTCCTTCCACACACACCCCAATGCTGCCCGCCACAGGATCCACCCCCCAAATCTCCAGGTATTTCCCTAATCAGAGGTGGAAACTGTGCTTCTCCTCAGTGCCTGTTGCTAGGCAATCAGGTTCTGTCACTAAAAGACCCTTTCCACACCTATTTTGGCCTTTTGGCGAAAACTCATTAGGGCCACTCCTGATAGGGTTGCCAACTCCAGGTGGAAAATTCCTGGAGAGGGGTGGAGCCTGGAGAGGGTGAGGTTTGAGGAGGGGTGGGACCTCAGACAGGTACAATGCCATAGACTCCACCCTCCAAACCAGCCATTCCCTCATTGGGGACCACTGTTGCCAGTCTCCAGCGGAGGGATGGAGATCACGCAGTATTACAACTGCTCTTCAGATGGCACAGATCAGTTCCTCTGGAGAAAATGGTGGACTCTGTGTCATTATACCCTGTTGAGGTCACCACAGCGAATTGGTGCTGAGTGCCCAGGGCCGGGGCACTCTCCCAGAGCCCCTTTTTCTAGAGCTTGTTGTATTTATTTCCACAACGGACCTTAATCCTAATCTCTCTTTATTATAAAGCGCTGTTCGTGTCCCTTTTGCCTCAACGTTCCACATGCCTCCACAGCCTCTCGCTTCCTCAACTGCTGGTCACAAAGGTGTCCCTGCCCACTGGCTGCATTGCCTTCGTCCCACCCTGCCTCTCACCCGCAGTGCGCTGAGAGCCGCTGGACAGCCAGGACGCTCCAGCGGGCGGATGGTCCGGAGGCTGAGCCCCATAATGGCAACATCGCGGTAGCGCTGTGCCCTTGCTCACCCGAGAACTACTCCCTTGCTCACCGCCACACCCCCACCACCTCGGGCACTCACTGGGAGACGGCAAGCTGTGGCGGCCAGGAGCCACCGCCCGCACCACGCCCTCCCTCAGCCTGCAAGCCCCACAAGGGATTCTGCTGCCGCGCACTAGGAGGCCGCGCACTAGGAGGCCTGCTGCCACTAGGAGGCCGCTCAACCCGCACACCCGAGAACTGCTCCCTCACTCGCCCCCGCTCCACCACCGGGGGCCGCAGCGGTGAAGAGGCGGCGGCGGCAGCTTGATCGCCCTCCGTGCCCAGCAACGGATCATGGCCCCACCACGCCTGCGGCGGCTGCCTCTCTTCCCAGGCCCCACCAGGACTCCCATCTTCGCCACCACTCGCATCCTGGGAACCGCGGCACTCTCCTTCGCCAGGGCATCCGGGGGGGGGCCGCCTCCGCCAGCCTCTCTAGGGCCCGTTTCATCTCTTTCCGCAACGAGCCTTGCAACTAGTTATATATAATTGGAAAATAAATTACATTCAACCCTACAGCCCCAGGATAGTTTGCCAACAAACAAACTCTTGCAATGGCAAACATAACAGTTCCTAAACACTACAGATGAAGCGGGATACAGCATCATATAAGAAGATACAATACAAAACTACTTTAAGCACAGTCCAATTATATATTAAACATGAGCATGCAGAACAGCAGCTGGTAATTCATACACTCCAGGACAGGACATTCCTGATTAACTGTTTGTCTGACACCACTGCAGTTTTGTGGGGTGTGGTCCAGGCTGTGCTCTCGCTTTTGAAAGACCAAGGAAGCATCCTAATAAACCAATTCCACATGAACTGGACCTTATTATCCTTTACAACAAACAGAGGTTCTGTAGCAGATAAGTTGATATGCAGGAAGTGTTCACCCAAAGACAAAGTCTGGAAAGCTTTGCTCTAAGGGTCCAATGGGAAGCTATAATCTGTTTTAGTATTGCCGTATCACGGAACAGCATGCAAAGTCTTTGCCAAAACAGAATCCATCGGGGTATGCACATTAAAAAAATGGATTATTTTGGAACCAGACTGGAGAGACCATGCTTTTAGTTATCACCCATTTTCAGGACTCTCCTTGCCATTTTCAGGACTCTCCAATTTTAGAAGCCAGGTCTTCCAACAGAAAATACTGGCCCTAGCTGGAGACGCCACCAAACACCTGTTTCATGGACCAGCTTCTTCTCTCTCCCTCTCGGCTCCTGAAGCATTCTTGAAATTCTGGGAGATAAACTTCATTACTCCCAGAATTTGGGAGTGTTCTGGGTCATTTTGGGTATTCCCCAGCAGACAGAGAACAGCTAATCTCCAGTTTATTTTCAGCTTGGGTATATCTGAGTGCACACGCCTAGAATCAATACAAGCATTCTGACACGTAGCAGAAGGACAACACCAGCTGTCCTATATAGCACCCTCAAAAAGCTAGCTGAAATACATCCAAAATCATGTATTGATGGAATATTCAAGAGGAAGATCAGACACTTACAGAGATAGCCAGAGATATATTTGCATCAACAAAGCTACTCAAAGGATAGGGGTTTTTTTCCCCGTTCAGCCAGATATAGTTTTAGGGAAAAGTTTCTCCAAACACTGAAAGAAACGTGTCTGGCTTTGTCTCATTAATTTGTATTCTATAAGCTGTTTAGGATTCCACTGAAGAGAATAGTGGGGTAAAAGAACTTGGGACAGAGTGAACCTTCTCATAACACATTAATGTTGCAAGAGGGGAACTTCGCAGCAGGCAAAGGGGCTTACCTGGCTGGGGGCACTCTGACTCCCCAAGGAAGACCAGAGTTCTCCTCAAGGTCTTCAGCAAGGGGCCCAGAAGGCAGCAGAGAAACATAAAGGCATCCATGCAGTTTTCCTGGTGGCTTATCTGGGGGGGGGGGGGGGGGAGAGGGGAGAAGAATGGATAAGGTCAGGCATAAAGAGCTTCCCATAAGAACTCCAAAGAGAAACAGGTTCCTAACAACTGGGAATTTACATTACTTGTGGATCACCAAAACCCAATCTGCCACAACCATTCTGTGGGTGACTTTTGTTTCTGGTCGTCAAAGATTATTACATTGCCCCCACAGTTTTCTATCTGGCATGCCAAACAAAGCAAAAAGGCTTCTAAATAGTTATTGTAGATTCATGAAAACGAACACATTTACACGAAAAAAAAAGAGCGGTGACTTGTAGCACAAGCTGTGCAATCGAGCCCACACCACCACATGAAGAAACGTGTGCAACACACCATTCTTTTGAATAATATGTATGGGACCAGTTTAATAGGCCAGCTTGTCAGTACTCTGAATGGAGAACAATATGCGGTTCTGATAGAGGGCAGACTAATGCAGGTAAATGTCTTGAATATGAAGTGCCACTTTTCAGCAGGGTGGGGAAAATAGCCATGAAAACAGGGGAAGTTTTGCACATCCCCAGAGGAATCTACACGCATTGAGAAAGACAAGCTTGAATAAGCATCCATGTGCCCGGGAGATGGCAGTGCACTTCCAGAAGTTTGAGATGGGAAAAAAGATAAGGGGAAGAGCCAGACAGGAGTCTCAGTGCAACAAGCGAGAGAAGCTCAACGGGCCCATCCTCAGCCCCAGCCGGCTAATTACAGAGAATGTTGCTCCCCTTTCAAAAGCACAAGAGAAAAGGTTTTAGAGCTGCAGCCCACACAGCTGGCATTTGAAGAGACAGGTTGTGAACTTAGAATGTGTCATGTGAGTGCCGAGAAACAAAAGAAGCAGGAATTTATATGGTAATTGGATGTTCCTTTTTACAATGGGGATGGGAAAGGAAGGGGGAGGCTTCCTTCCCACGTGGAGCCAGACCTAGGAGGAGAGTGCAGCGGTCCCCCAGAATGGCAGGGAAGCCTGACCAAATACCCAGCAGCTGACTCTTCCCCACATCGTCGCCAGCAGGACACCCAGGGGCATTTTTTTCCTTGAGGAGCACCTCTGGTGGAGGCGGATGTTTGAGATCCCCACCCCAAAATGTGACAGTTGAACAAAGGCACAGGCAAGCTGATGTTCTCCTGACACGCAATTAGGAAAGTAGGAAATGGCATGGCAGACTGATTCCGCTGACTTCATAGTGAGACGACATGTACTCAGTCATACCATCTCACACCCAGGACTTGACTTATTTTTAATCTATTTGCAGGGCTCTTCTACCTTTTAACAGTTGTACAGAAGAACAAGTTTCAGCAGGTACAGGTTATCATATGGAGATAGAAACAAACACACCAGATAAATTTCCCTGCTTCATACAACTGCCTCTTTCATACAGCTACTGAAGTCGCGCTGTCCCCTTAGCACAATCTTTTTCAGAGTCCTGATGTATCAAGCAAAGAGTGATACTGGAGACCATGGGCTCTTCTGCACTCTCATTTGCATCGCTTGGGTGCCCCACTTCTTCCTTCTATTTCTTTTCTGCACATGTTTCGCTTCCTTTAGTGGCTGCTTCAAAATTACATCACTGTTATCTCTGGCATACTTCACTGCATAGTGTAATATCGAAGCGACCACTAGAGGAAGCAAAACATGTGGAAAAGGGGGGGGAAACCCTGAAGCAATAGAGGCACACAAGCAACAAAAATCAGAATGCAGAAGAGTCCCATGCTCTGCCTGACTGTTCCCTATCAAGCACATGGGCCAGTGGGAGAACAGTGTGGGGTGAGATATGCTGGGCATTTGGTAGAAAACAGAAGTAGTGGAACCACAGCTATCTTGGCAGTTTTGTGAGACTTCCAGCTTCTGTCCAGGCCACTTACCTGGTCACCACTGGCAAGTAAAACCCAACTCCAGGTGACCCAGCCTCGACGCTTTTCTGAACAGGAAAGGAGCTGGGCCAGAAAGGGAGCTGGGTGTTCAGCTGGCTCTATTTCAGGCTACCAATGTGCTACAACGGGCTTAGTGTAAGTACATTTAGGCTTGTAGGAGTGTAATTTTGGGTAAGTTATTTGCACATCTGACTTTGACCTGCTTCCTGTCCCTGCTGTTGATAGGGTATGCACAGAGAAACAGTTCTCCTTCCCTCTCTCAATTATCTGCTGCAACCAAGACTTCACAATAAGTAGCAAATCTGACTTCTGCATTTTGTTAAAACACAGACAGAAGTTACAAGGCCTTGTGGGAAGGTAAAGAGACTTAAAAGTATTAGGACAGGCTCTATAAGAACTCTAAGGATTACAATGCAGTATCCTACATCACTATCTTTGCTCCCCTTCTTTACACATAAAATTACACAAAACAGCCAACTATAAATATCTGCTTATCGTTATCAGGCCACAGAATTCAGCTTTCTGGATACAAAATGACTTATTTAAAAAGCCACAGGGCCTTGCACGCCTCTAGAATTACGACAGTCTTGCTACTGGAGTGAGGAGGGGAAGAGTGATTAGTTGGTGAAGCCAAGGAAGAGGCCCTGAGAGCAGAGGGATTTCTGTGACGCAGAGGTCATTTCGGGGGGGAACACGGGGGAACGCAGTTCCCCTGGGTGAGGTATGGGGGGCGGGGCACATGACGAAGCCCCGCCCCCTGCTTCCAGCCGCCCCGCTTCCAGCCCTCATTCAGCCAGGAGGAGGCAGGAGAACATAAGAACATAAGAGACGCCAATGTTGGATCAGGCCAAAGGCCCATCCAGTCCAACACTCTGTGTCACACAGTGGCCAGAAATACCAGTGCCATCAGGAGGTCCAGCAGTGGGGCCAGGACATTAGAAGCCCTCCCACTGTTGACCCCCCCCCAAGCACCAAGAAGACAGAGCATCACTTGCCCCAGAGCCCCTATCTATACCTTGTGGCTAATAGCCACTGATGGACCTCTGCTCCATATGCTTATCTAATTCCCTTTTGAAGCCGTCCATGCTTGTAGCACCCACCACGTCCTGTGGCAGTGAATTCCATGTGTTAATCACTCTTTGGGTGAAGAAGTACTTCCTTTTATCTGTTCTAACCCGACCGCTCTGCAGTTTCATGGAGTGCCCACGAGTTCTTGTATTGTGAGAAAGGGAGAAAAGTACCTCTTTCTTTACCTGCTCTTTCCCATGCATAATCTTATAAACCTCGATCATGTCACCCCTCAGTCGTCTTTTCTCCAAGCTAAAGAGCCCTAAGCGCTTTAACCTTTCCTCATAGGGAAAGTGTTCCAACCCTTTTATCATTCGAGTTGCCCTTTTCTGCACTTTTTCCAAAGCTATAATATCCTTTTTAAGGTGTGGTGACCAGAACTGCACACAGTATTCCAAATGAGGTCTCACCATTGATTTATATAGGGGCATTATTATATTGGCTGATCTGTTTTCAATACCCTTCCTAATAATCCCCAGCATAGCATTGGCCTTCTTTATTGCAGTCACACACTGTCTCGACATTTTCAGTGAGTTATCCACTACAACTCCAAGATCTCTCTCTTGCTCAGTCTCTGCCAGTTCAGACCCCATCAATGTGTATTTATATTTAGGATTTTTGCTGCAATGGGCATCACCTTGCACTTGGCCACATTGAACCCCATTTGCCATGTTGACGCCCACTTGCCCATCTTTGACAGATCCCTTTGGAGTGCCTCACAATCCTCACTGGTTTTCACCACCTTGAACAACTTTGTATCATCCGCAAATTTAGCCACTTCACTGCTTACTCCCATCTCCAAATCATTTATGAACAAGTTAAAAAGCAGTGGACCAAGTACTGATCCCTGCGGTACCCCACTGCTTACCACCCTCCATTGAGAAAATTGCCCACCTACACTCACTCTCTGTTTTCTATGAACTAGCCAGTTTTTGATCCATAAAAGGACTTGTCCTTCTATCCCATGATTTTTGAGCTTACTTAGGAGCCTTTGATGAGGAACTTTATCAAAAGCTTTCTGGAAGTCAAGGTAAATAATATTGCTTCCTCCCCGCCTCTCCCCACCCCTGCCTGCCTGGGGCCAGGGAGGGCCTTGGCGGGGCTTCCTCGCACTCCCGCTGGCCTTGCAGGTCCACCGCCGGGCCCCTGATGTCAGGGGGTGTGGCATATGCTAATGAGTTATGCTAATGAGTTCCCCTAGCTCTTTTTCTACAAAATGACCCCTGCTGTGAGGGTCCCACATTCAGAATGGCCTCACGGTACTTTGAAGCACTGCTTCCCAGCCTCTTCATCATAGTCACTGTCACTGTCTTCAAAGTCATCCATGGCCTTCCAAAGAAGCTTCCTGGTGAAGTTCTTCTGTGTCGTGTCACACACCAAGCGATCGCTGGCCACCTGCATGCAACAGAAACATCCACAGCTTTCAGCGAAGGAAAGAAGGGATGGGAGATCCTGCTGCAACCACTAGGTCTAAACTAGTAATACTCAAAGGGTGTCCTGGGATAAAAGAATAAAATGTATCTACTTAGTAAATACATGTATTAAATCAAAGACTCTTGTGAACTCAGATGTTGCCCACTGCTTCCCTGTTCTGGTCTTGCCTCCTTCCAGATTATTCCTTGGGGGGGCGGGGGGGGGCGGGTTGCTTCTTTGATACGTAATTCAATTGATCCCAAGCCAGGGTTGCAGCAGAATAGTTGAAAATGCTGCCTGGGGTGCCTCTCGGTATAATCTGCTCTGGGCTTATCTCATTCTTGGCACATCAGTGCTTCCTGCAAAAATACAGGATGGGCTCCTCTAGGGATGTCATCCTTACTTTTGGATTCTCAGAAAACCTTTTTTCAGATGCAAGAGCATGTTTCTGATTTTCATTCACATGACAGAAAATATTCCTTTGCTATCTGAACCTTGGGGACATGCTGGCCTCACTATCGCCACACAGTCTTCCTGACTGGAGATTCAGCGAAGCTGAAATGCCACGGTGATGCTGCTTTTCTTACCATACTCACTCCCCCTTTTCCCAATGAATGGCTTTTCCTACCTCTTCTGCGACCAACAAGCCATCCTGGATCAGCTTGTCCATGGCAATCTGGCAGTAATAATACACAGACTGGCACGGCTGGGAGAAAGCAAATAAATTTATCAGAGGCAGGAAAGGGCTTTGCGATCCAGCTCAACATAGGTCTGATTCACAGAACAGACACCAAACTGTGTTCAAGATGACTGGACTGCCTTTCTAGAATGTTTCTGCGATCCGGCATTCTTTCATTTTCAACCCCTCTTTTGATCCAGCCATAGCTAAATCCCCACAGAGTGAATTTATCTTGATTAAAGAAATTTCACCACTGAAATCTTCTGGCACGTAAAACTGCTTAACTTTTGTTGGATCGTGCCTACAGTATTTTGGTCTCTGTTTACTGTATACAGTTTCTGTGGTCATACATGTAACATACATTACCTGATCGAGTATAGCTTAAATATGTAAATCAACTCAAGTGAAGAGTTTGATGCAATATCATTGAAATACAGCTGGAAGGGTCTTTATTTACCAGCTAATCTAACTTCCTGCTTGTTCAGGAAACCTATTCTCAAAAGATGGCTTTTCAGCCTCCATTTGAAGACAGTCAGGGAGGGAGAGCCCTTCCCTACACAATTAGTTCTATGAAATCATCTGTGCTGCAGTATCTGCAATGACTCATTCACATGTGCAAGCAATCACTTAGTGTTGTGGCCATCAAGAGATGCACTTTGCATGTATGAAACAGGTACTTGTTTTTGTTCTCATAGGCAGCTCATAGCCCCGCCAGGCCTACTCAGCACTTCCAACAGGCCTCCCTCTCTCATGTCCACCATTACTTCACAGCCTTCCCCAAGCTTCAGTTGAAGACACTGTTTGGCCCTGGCTGATCATTAAAGCTACTGTACCAATGCTCCCATAAATCAGATGAAGATCATGCAGAAAGGACAGTCCTTGCCATGAGGAGGCAGTTCACATGTCACAAGAGGTACGGGTGAACAGCGCCTTTATACTTTTTAATTAAGCAGAGGAATAGCATATTGTGAAGAAACTGACCCAGCTAGTTCATAGTGGCCAGGAGAGTGACAGGAGTCCTGCCAACCTCTGCCATGGAATCCATCTCCCTCTGTGGGGTCCCTTCCCTTACAAAAACTATTTGCACCAGCAAGCATGCTCTCTCTGCTGGCTCAGCTTGATAATCCAATAAAGAGGCAGGGGTCGGCCTACCCAGTCTTCCAGTTCTAGGGTTTCAAAGTGTCTACCAGAGGTAAAAGACACATGCAACACTAGTGTTCCCACCTGGCATAGGACAATGTCCCTGGGCAGCAACTGGACCAGCAAAGCAGTCTTGTTGTGAAGCTCTTCCTGGGCAAAGACAGCATCCCTGAGCTGCTCGGGGCTCCCCAAGTATGGAAGCAGCTCCATCATGAGGGCGTTGATAGCACAGGCTGCAGAGAAATATCAGACAACCGTGTAATTTGCACCCCTTATAAAACTAAGCACAAGCATCCGGGACTGTATTTGTGTAGTTCTTTGACCTGTCATTCTTGTTTTGTGTATTATCTCTTTCCCACTGGTTGTCTTCCTCTGTGTGCAAATGTGGATTTTAAACTCCTCAGGGCAGGGACCTGCATTTTTGCTTATATTACTTTGTGCCATGAAGGTCATGAAGGTCACTGATGCTGAATAAAACAGAAGCTAACAAGCTTGTAAACAGCCACTTGCCTGCTGACCAATGGCAAGTAAGAACTGCCTCCAGCCAATCAGGAAGAGAAGCTCAACGTAAGACCACTTAACACTTTGCCCCTAAGTATGCAGCTCTGGGGAGCTGCGGTGGCTCAAGTGGTTAAGATGCTGAACTGCAGGCTGTGGAAGGTCGGTAGTTCAGCAGTTCGAGACCCGAGTGTGCCGCATGATGGAGTGAGCTCCCATCTCTAGCTCCAGCTCCTGCCAACCTAGCAGTTCGAAAGCAAGAAATTGCAAGTAGATAAATAGGGACCGCTTCAGTGGGAAGGTAACAGCGTTCCGTGCACCTTGGTGTTTAGTCATGCCGGCCACATGACCACGGAAATGTCTTTGGACAGCGCTGGCTTTTCGGCTTTGAAATGGAGATGAGTACCGCAACCCTAGAGTCGGATTCGACTGGCTTTCGAGCAAGGGAACCTTTATGCAGCTCTGGAACATTACCTCCAACAAGAGGCTTTCTAGACTAACAGCACAATTCTTTCATTGGGTGTAAGAAGTCCAAGGTTCAAATCCTGGACTACCCCATAAATGGAAGGAAATAATAACTGGGTAGAGACCTCATAAGTCTCAGTAATTGATCATACTTTTGTATAGTGAAGGTCCCAGGCTGAATCCCTGGCATGTGCAGGGATAAAGGCCTGGAAAGGTCTCCACTTGAGTGCTCAGTAGCCAGTTGGAGTAGACCATCTTAGGATGAGTGGACTGATGGCCAGGCAACAAACAACACAAATAAGGGGAAGAGTGAACTGCACTGGGGTGTCAGTCATCACTGGTGTACACCCACCAAAAAGGAGGACGCAAATAGGAAACACTGACAAACAAGCAAAATAATAATAATAATAATCATCATCATCATAGTGCATAAAATATGGTAAACTAACATGAAAAATACCACATGGAGTTAAATGGCATCAAAACGTCAGATGATAAATACTCAGAAGCAACAAGATCACCCTCCTGTTTGTTGACTTTTTCATCCTGTCTCATACGAATGATATCTGGAGTTTTGATACTATTCTGCTCAAGTACCTTTCCAGATTTGTGTGTGTACATATCCTCTGTTCCTGGAAGTGTTATCTGACAATCATGCAGGGGTAACAACATAAGGCAGCTTCATCTGCCTCCTCGCAATTGTACAAACACCTGAAGTAGCAGACCATCCAATAGCAAACAAACATGCAAAAATCTATCCGTGGCTGAGGCACTGACCCAGTTGTTGGAACTGAAGGACTGGACGCTGTCCCATGCCTCAGCCTCCAGACTATGTGGCAAGAGAGTTAGATAGGCTAGACAGGCAGACCAAGCTTCTTCCTATGTTACTTTTCTGTCACTGTCCCCTTTGAAATGTATACTGCTACTCTCAGGGAAACTGCCTCTCCTTCTTTCCATTCATCCTCTCCCAGAATGCTCTTCTCCCCTCCCAGAACACTCTTCTCCTTACACACACCAAAAGGGAAGACATGCTGTGTCCATCTTGGCACCATGACACAGATGGGCCTCTCACCATCTGTATCCATCCTTAGTAAGTTAGACTAGGAGACTATTCTATCTCTAAGCTTTCCTATCTAGAATGTAGTTCCTAAATAGATAGACTTCTATTAGTCTGAAAGGTGGCTCAGTGTAACTTTGTGACTAAGCTTGGATACCTGGTGCAAAGACACTCCTGCATGTGTAGCTTTAATACACTCTGCTAAACTAGCTCTGGGAACTGGACTAACTATACCAGCTCTCTCAACACCAATAGCATACACCCCTGGTGAAATAGCTTCAACTCATGATAAGGGAGTCATCTTCTCAACTCCTTCCGCAGACACATTAAAACATGTGTATAGTCCTCTGAAGTACCAAATTTGCCAGGGGAGCCACCAGGATGTACTGGAAGAAGGAGGAATAAGAATTTGGACCTTACCTTACCTAAAGGGCTGGCAGCACCGACACCAGGGAGCTCTCGAGTCAGGCCTTACTCACAGGCCCACAGAAGCTAGCAAAGCCCATTTACAGCTGGCACTGCTGGCTTGAGGGTCTATCCCTTGTAAAGAAGGTAAGAATGGTGACTGCAAGGGATTTTTATACTTCTGTGTCATATCTGTCACTTCTCAACCCCTCCTCTTTGCAAAGGACATCTTTCTACAGATAACGTGAAGTGAGTGGAAGGGCGAAAGACTGGAAAGGCACTTACAGCCTCTCGTGTAAGCGGCCTTAAAAAACCCACAGTTAACCTTGGGGGATAGGGGAGGGGGCTAGTTTCAGGATACTGGTTGCCTGAGAAACAAAGCCCTGTGGGAGTGGGATAGTGTTGGAGAAATGATCAATAATTGAGACTTGGTCATTTTGGCTTTGGATTCTAATAGCTATTCTTGGGTTCAATACACACTTGGTAAAGCTAATGCCCTGACACTGCTCTTTGGCTTTGTGGATAGCATTTCAAGAGATAGTGATGCTAGCCTCCTAGCCTAAACATCTGGATTATCGGACTCCTAAGGAACCCTTGACGTAGTATATATCTAAGAGCTTCCCGACCCACTGATAATATACAGATTGCCACTTGGAGAGGTGTCATAGTAGTCTGGGGCTTCTGGCCCTCAGATACGCCATTAATAATAGGCAAAGATCATGCCTGCTGTGTATGAAGGGTTGGATTTGTCAAATGTGTCAGATGTTCACCATAGGTCTGATTGATACAGGATTTTACAGGTATATGTCAGTGGTTTCTTTTGTTTGGGGTTGTGTGCCAACCACCCGTCTTATGGGTCTTGACAGACAACCAGGATATATCCTCTACAGAATTACAGTGTACTCTATTTAGGTATTTGATTAATTTGATTAATTCTGTATGCTGCATACTAGAATGTTATATGGTTAAAAATTCTGCATTATGGTGTTTAGGAGTCAATAAATAGTTTCTAAGGCAAAGCCACTGTCTTGGTTGTCTCTCTCTGCGAAAACTCTCTTACCAGTCTCAATCCAACCCCATAGAACATTAGTGGGGGTCCCAGGCAATTTCCTAGACCTTAAAATCCCCCAACAGATAGCATGAAGCCTACTGAGATACGGCTGCTCCCTTCCTTTGGCAGTGCTTACCAGACCATCCTTCTCTCACACTCACCCCCAACAGCTTCCTGGATGAAGACGGGCAGGAGGGCAGCACTATGCCTGCTCAGCTCTGTCACAGCAGCCTCTGTCCTCCTTGGAGCTACCAGGACATCCCCCAGTGAGAGGCGGTGGAGGGAGACGCAGCGCCGCAGCAGGAAAAGGGTGTGTAGCACCAAGTGCCGCACCTGCCCAGAAAAGCCCACGTCGTACTTGCGCAGCAAGATCTCCTCAGTGAGCCA